AATGGGGGGCTGGCTGGCACAGGAGCCAGGCATGGGGTACTGATTTCTCTCTGCCCCCCCCCAGGCTAACAGCCTCGCCTGCCAGGGGAAATACACCCCAAGTGGCCAGGGTGGAGCCGCTGCCAGCGAGTCTCTCTTCGTCTCCAACCACGCCTACTAAATGTGGGGTCCCGCCCCCCCCACACCCATCTGCCCCCCCACCCCCCGCTGCCTGCACCCATCCTGTGGAGTCTAGTGTGGCCGGCTCCTGGCCTGCAGAAAAGCTGAGCTCCCTTGAAGAACCCAGGAGTCCGGGCCCCCCTTCCCCTGCTGTCGTGGCTGTGTCTCTCCGCTTCCGCTCCCCCCTTCTGGTGACAGATGACACTCCAGGCGTGCATCCCATGACCGAGCTGCTGGCCCCCCACCCTCAGAGGTGGGGGAGGGATGACCCATCCCCCCAGATCCTACAATAAAGAGAAAACTATTTAAACAGAGCCCCTGGCTGTGAGCTTCCATGGGGGGAAGGGGGTGGGACGCCCCAACACCCCGGCTGGAGATGGCTGTGGGGGGAGCCACTGCTGGGGAGGGGTCGCAGATGCGCCCCCAGCTCAACAAACTAATTATGGAGGCACTGAGGTGAGGAGCGCGGGTGGGCCCTGGGCCCCCACCCCTGCACATAGAGCTGGGGCTGAGCCCCCCATGGCTCTCCCACACCCACTGTGCTGGGAGCAGGCCCTGCAGCGAACACACACACACACCCCCGCGGCCGGGCCCCAGGCCGAACCCACACACCCCCTGAGCCTAGGGTTGCCAGGGATCCGGTTTTTGACCGAAATGCCAAATAGAAAAGGGGCCCTGGTGGCTCCAGGCCAGTAAAAGTCTGGTGGGCGGCGCAGTGGGGCTAACACAGGCCCCCCCGTGGCTCCCAGCATATCCCTGCAGCCCCTGGGGAGGCCAGGGGTCTCTGCAACTGAGAACCGTGACCAATGGGAGCTGCAGGGCCGGTGCCTGTGGGTGGGGGCTGCACATGGAGACCCCCTGGCCCATCTGCCAAGGGGCCGGAAATGGCGGCCACTTCCGGGAGCGGCGCGGAGCCAGGGCAGGGAGGGAGCCTGGCTTAGCTCGCTGGCTGGGAGCCGCCTGAGGTAAGCGCCACCCAGCCGGAGCCAGCACCCCGAACCCATCCTGCATCCCCACCACGCCCAAACTCCCTCCCAGAGCTAGCACCCCAACCCCCGCTGCAGCCCTGAGACCCCTCCCGCACCCCAACCCCCTCCTGTACCCCACTCCCCTTCTGCGGCCCTGAGCCCCCTTCTGCACCCAACCCCTTCCTGTACCCCACTCCCCTTCTGCGGCCCTGAGCCCCCTTCTGCACCCA